TTTAATACTTTGAAAATATATACTCAAGCTGACTGTGTTGAGCACTGGATGAGAATGTGCTAGAAGTCAGCAAGCCCATGAAATAGAGTATACCTGCCATGTCTGTGCTCACTGCCTGTGTCTGCCTGTGTGTTCACTCAATGAAGAGATATTTGTCTCTTGAATTTTCATCTGGGTCACTATGCTGCACAGGTTCGTATTCAACAGACGTTTACTGCTTTATGCCAGGCTGAGGGTTTTCATTAAGTCCAAAGATGCCCTCATTTCAGGACATCAAGTTTTAATCAGGTAATTATAAAATTACCATTTATTGAACATTTTGGTAATTTTCAAAAAAGCGCTTTATGTGTTAATTGCCTCATTTGATTTTTATAATTCTGTTGGAGTAGGTACAGTGGTTATTCATAGAGGTGGGTACCAGGGTACTATGGTTATTTCTACTATTAAGAAACCAGGGTTCAAAGACGCGGCGTAACTTGTCCAAGTCACTCTGCTGCTAAGTAGTCGTGCCAGGTTTTGAAGCCAGGTGGTCTGACTACCAAGTCTGGGCTTGGCCTAATTCAGCTGCCCTGCCCGGAGACCCTGTCCTGTGTGATCCGGCCCACATGGAGGTACCTGGGGTCTAACTTAGCTAGGGAGGCTGTCAGCCACCTGGTGTGACGGGCATGTCATCAGAAGTCAAGCCCTCCATAAAACAGCTGCACCCCACCTACTGTAGTGGAGCTCGGGACTTCTGGTTAATCTCAGTCCTCCTCTTACCAGCTCTGTTCCTTAGAAAATAGTTAACCTTAGTTAAGAACCCCTGTTTCTTTCTACAATAATAGTAGCAAATACTAATTGCATTTGTGATGAGCTACAACAGTAGCGTTATAGCAGGTAACAGTGCCTAGACTCTGGTTATTAGGCCCCTGCTGCAGGTTTCTTACATTAATTCACAGCAACTGTTAGAAGGTTGGTACTTTCATTTCCTCCTTTTATAGATGGAACAACTGAGGGAGAGAGAGCTAAAAGGTCCAGCAATTTGAAATCGGTGGCAATACTCAGATTTGGCCGCAGGCAATATAAGTCTGAGCCCATGCTGTGAGCCACAGCGCTCCGCGGTGCTCCCCCTGGAGATGAGAGGATCAAGCATGTAAAAACCTCTGCCCCAGAACCAGGCGCACACTCAATGGGACTATTACAAGGTTTAGAATAAGAAGGTTTAACAGCTCTGACCACCCACAAAAAGAGAAGCACCAATTTGTGGAGAGTATTCTGATTTTGATCTTATACCAAAACCTTCTTATGTCTTTGCCTTTGAACTTTCAGGACCTGCTGGCTGGTGTTTCCTAATTGTGGGGAGATTCCTTTAGAGGAGGCATCTCTTGGTACACACCACTTACCTTCCCTGCACCTGCCAGGATGCAGAGCGACTGGCAGGTGGGCGGGGATGAGAACTAGTGGGGTAGCCACCGGTACAGGTGCACTCCCTGCCCCCACTATGGCCTCCGGCCCAGCACAGTCTGTAGACTGGAGCTTCTGTCTTTCCTGTTGACAGTAATTAGAACCTTTCAGACTCAATTTCTCACAAGAAAAAATCCCAATCCACTTGAATTGTCTCCTTGATCCAGTTCACCTGGAACTATTTAGTTCCCGCAGTTTGTTTGGAGGGGAAAACAAGCTCTTAAGCCTTAGCGCATTGTGGTTGATAAGGTCAAGATGCTGGAAATGTTAGTTGGGCAAGCTTTGGAGCCAGAATGCCTAAGTTTAGATTCTAGTGTCACCTCTTAAGCGCGCACATCAGAGATTTGTGTCTGTGAAATGGGGATAACAATAGTGAAGACCAGATGAGGTAACACATGGAAGGCCCTTGGAAAACTCTTGGAAGAAGTGCTTGGCCCTTCAGCAAGTGCTCAGTCAACCTTAGCAGTTGGTGTTATCATTATTAAGCCCATTCAGCCCTCAGCCCCCCTTCTTTCCCTGGGATCCTGCTCTGGGGTGCCAGGTCTCCTTCCTGTCCCCCAGGCTCTGGTCCCTTCTCTCCTGACTCACCAGATTATTTCCTCTCTCCAAGTCTCTATGTCCATGTCATGAAATGGGACTAGGGAATAATGAAGTCTACTTGTTAAGGCTGTTGTGAGCTCATTCAGGCCCTGAGCACAGAGCTCTGTTCTGAGCACAGAACAGACTGTTCTGTCTCATTTCTGTTATTCCTGAAGCATAAATGGCTGCCTGGATGGGCCTTTGAGATCTTGGAGTGCCCTCCGAGCTAAGGTGTCACAGTAGACTGGAGGACACAGGGCTTACGGGTGTCTGCACTAGTCTTGGGAGCTAGGGAGGCTTCTGGCTTTTCATCTCTATAACCCTTGCCAGGGCCAGGCTAGGTTATTCATTAAACAAAATGAATACTGAAGAGTATTCCAACACAGGTTGGCTCGGGCAATTTCAAGGCAGAATAATCCTAAGTGTCTCAAAATTTAAACTCAACAAGAAACACCATCCTCTTTCCTTTCCTGTCTGTGCTCCCAGGATTTAAAAACAAACCCCAAATTAACTTCCATTGTTTAGTAGTAGTATGTTCTAGATATCCGCTAAGTGCTTTATAGACATCATCTCTTTTAATCTTGCCTTCAACCCTGAAAGGTAATCATCATTCCCATTTTATAGATGAGAAACTGAGATTTAGAGATATTGAGCAATTTGCCCAAGGTTGCATACCTGGTAAATTACAGAGTCAAGATTTGAACCCTGGCCTATGGGACAGGACGGGAACTGCTCCTATTAGCTCATAAATGTTCTGATTCGGGAACAAGTCTTACCACTTTTCATTCTCCCAAATACCCACTGCCTAACCCAGGAATATCTCCAAGGAGCAGCTGCTTCTCCCTTGAAATCATCTGGCCTTGATATTATCTGGCCATTAGTTTAATAGAACTGCTATCTTTCACAATTAAGGTGATAAAAGTTATTTGCCTGTACTTTCATTCATCTCTTTATCTGACTCTCTTCCTTACTTTACATTTGGGAAAATCAAGTTCCAGAAATGGTGGACAGGAGTGGTGTTTTCTGATATGTTTAGTATTTCCAAGAGCCTGTTTTGGCATCAGAGAAATAGAAAATGATTTTTGCAAATTCTTCTTCTGTCTTAATGAAGCAAATATTTGAAAAATAGGAGTTAGAATATCATCAAGAATCTAAAGACATGCTAAGGTCTGGAAACCAGGGGGCTGATAGCAATTCTTTATTGTCTTTCTTTATTAAAGATGAGGGTTTGGGCCTCCCCTGGTGGCGCAGCAGTTGAGCACTGGGTTGTGAGGCTGCCCGCAGCCTCTACAGCCCCAGTTTGATCCCCGGCCACCGGCGAGGGTCCCACAAAAAAAAAAAAAAAAAAAAAAAGATGAGGGTTACATCCCTTTTACCCCACCGCTTTTTCTCTACCCCAACATTTTTCTAACGCTGTATATCCTCCGAAGGATATTGTGTAGGTAATTTGGGGGATGCATGTGAAGTCCTGTGAAATATCTTGACCCTCATAAGCATGGTATCAGATGCATCCACCAAAGCTTAGTTAGCCTAGAAAAGCACTGATGATTCAAAAGACAGAGTGCCTTTATTTACTTCCTCCCCAAAATCACCCCCCGCATAGGTGGTTCTGGAGTATGAACAAAGTGGGAACATACTCGACCCAGTGGTTTTCTCCCTTCCCTTTGCCTTTCCTGTCCATCATCCCAAATCTGTGCGACCATGAGTAGCTATTACTCCTTCCCTTAAACAACGAACCCTCTTCCCAGGCTGTGCCCGAGGTCAGGCAAGAGAGGAGAGGGAAGTGCACACCCATTGTGGCCAAGACGAAAGCCACAAAAGCCATCTTGATCCTTTGACCTACATTGACGCTGAGTCTGTTCCTTTGCTGTCCCTGACTTTGGCAGTGTGGTTAGTCCAACTCTCTGCCCCCACCTTGAATTGAGCTTTGATGCAAAAGTAGTAGGAATCCAAGCCTGTCACTGGGGAATTGGGGTTTTTGCCTTGGAAAAGCATCAACCAAACTAGCAGGGGCAGGAGATTTGGATTCCTGCGGCTTGGGCTAACTTAGGTCCAAAGAAACCAAGGGCCTGTGATCATCATAGTCAGTCCCCAAATGTGGCCATGCCCTCTGGGTCCTCTTCTCTCACTCATTTCCCTGGTTAGGATGACTTCGAGGTTACTTGCTCCCAGGTTGCTTGCCCCTGCTGCACCATTAACTGATCCCTCCATATTGGAAATGATTTGCTATAATATAGAACATCCACAGAGTGCTGCTGCCTGGCTGATCTAAAATCTTTTGGCTTTAGTACATGCAGAAACAACACAACTTTCATGCATCCTCTCCCTTGGGCTCCAATACACGCCCCCACCCCCACCGATACTTGCCTCTCTGGGTTTTTTTGCTGGGCCACAGACCCTCCTCCTGACCCACTTCTCCCAAAGCACTCACTGCTTCTGTGTATCACGAATTGTTCGGTTGCCTTGATTGCATATCTTGGACCTTTGTCTTGGCTTCCTCTAATAGAATGACCAGGCTTGTGTGCAGGCATCCAGGAGAAGCCGGCCTGAGCAGGACTGGATGCCAGCATAATAAGGTCTGCGGGTTGCTATCGCTCTCCATAGATTGCAAGACTGGGTTTGCCTCAGTACTACTTCCAGATATTCTCTGGATGGACTTTGGGTGAGCTGTGGTGAATGTTACCATGCCAGAGAATTTCAGCAGATTCAACCACCTTTGAAATGACTCATTCTTGCAGATTCTTATACACAAGGAAAACCAAATGAAGGAGGTTGATAAAAGCACCCCTCTTGTTCCCTCATCTCACCTGACCAGTTTTCAAGCCAGTGAAATACCTTGGAGGTTGGTGGTAGGACCCCCATAGCCTCTTTAGAAGAGCAGCTCTACCTAGACTAGATCTAAATCCACAAAATGACCACAAAGAGAGTGGGGACCAACACACCGAGACCTGATGAGTGTGTCTCCCTTTCCACTGCAGATTTGCTGACCATGAAAGAATATCACTGTTTGCTGCAGCTACTGTGCCCGGATTTCCCACTGGAGCTGACGCAGAAAGCAGCCAGGTACGTCCACTGGGCTCCTGAAGCCAGCTCGGCCCTCTGTGCCACTGGGCTTCTTAGGGGACCCTAAAATATATGCCAACAAACCAGTAAACCACGAGGGAGGAAGCTGGCATTTAGAGCAGGGTCTGGTTGAGTTTGCCCCAAAACATAACACTCATTTTCTGCATTTCCAAAGGGGAGCCTAATGATCCTTTGTGGTTTCTGTGGGGAGCCTTAGGGTCTGCACAAAGACCTGGGGGGGCAGTGAAGTGAAGAAGCGCACACACACACATGCACAACCATGGAAGAAAATCCCCAAAGGCTATTCTGAGAAAAGTAGGACAAGATTTGGCAACAACTCGTGATGAAGGGTCTGAAGTTGGAGACTGGAAAGGCAGAAAGTTGACAGAGCCCAATTTAATGCTAAAAGGTGGTTTTCAAGATTAGTTCAGCACCAGGAAGACTCGGCAAGAATAGTTAGAAGTCCCTCATTTCTGTGTTGGGTTTCTCCATGACTCTTTTTTAACCAAATGGGGTAGTTAGACTATGTCTTAGTTAACCTCACTAAGGAGCCTCCCTGGTGGTGCAAGGGTTTAAGTCACAACACTATGAAGCTATCCGCAGCCACTGCAGCAAATCCAGCCAGGGAGCTAACGCGCATGGTGCAGCAGACCTCTCCTGGCTCACCCGCTGCTCCCCTCAGCAGTGTATTTCAGTCAGTCTGCCTGTTCTGTTCCCTCTCTGTCTCTGGTGAATCCTCTCACCCCCCGCGCCTCTGGCCTGTACCCCAGCTCTTGTATACATAAATAAATAAATTAAAAAATAAAACCTGAGGGGCCTCCCCAGTGACGCAGCGGTTGAGCGCTGGGCTGCGAAGTTGCCCGCAGCCTCAGCAGCACCGGTTCGATCCCTGGCCACCAGCGAGGGTCCCACATGGCACGCAGACCTCTCCTGCTGTGCCCGCTGCTCCCCTCAGCAGTGTATTTCGTCAGTCTGCCTGTTCTGTTCCCCGTTCTGGCTCTGGTGAATTCTCTCACCCTCCTGTGCTTCTGACTGTACCCAGTGCTTGTATAAATAAATAAATCTTTAAAAAAAAAAAAAAAAAAAACTGAGCTAAGGTGGCAAGTGGAAATAGAGCAAAAATCTGCCACCACTTTGTGATGTCACCTTGTTCTCTGCCCCCTTCCTTGAAAGGTAGGTGTGAGTGTATGAGAGTGCGCCTTCTGTACGATTTTCAACCCCCAGCAGCCATGGTTCTGGCCCATCTCCCAGACCCTGCCAGACCATCTCACCTGGGTAAGCACTGCAAGATTAGAGCAGATTCCTACAATGATTAATAATAGGGGGCTTCTGGAATGGTATTCCCCTAGCTGTGGCCAGAAGCTTGCCCCTTCTCGCCTAGAGGCTACTGTGTGATAGAAACTTCAGACCTTTCCGTTTGATGAGCAGAAAGTTGTGCGGCCAGTCATGTCAATAGCCATGTGAGGGTAAACTGTGGAAGGGCCTAGGTCATCCTCGAGATACTGGCTATAAAATGAGAGCAGAATTCAGAACTCAGGAGGAGTGTTTTCTCTGTGTGTGTGAGCATCAGCCTGTTGTGCCAGCTCCCCCTCCCAGTACCACTCTTCCCCACTCTGCTCCAGCTGGTGTGGACGTGGGAAAACTATATCCATATACAACTCTCCGCCCCAGAAGTGCACTCTGCTTGTTTAAGCTATTCTCACTTCGTCCTGGAGTTCAGGATCCCATCTGCCCCACACTCAGGCCCAGGCTTCTAACCAGAATCACAAACAGGGCTGCTGAGGCCTCCAGCGCAGTCACTGCTGCTAGAAGAGGCACTGCCCTCTCCCCGGCTCTCCGCTGGGCTGACTCCAGTCAGAGCTCTGAGGTCTGAGGACAGGCCACAGAAGGAGGCTCCAGCCTGCGATGAGGCGTGCATAAAAGAATGTAATCCTCAGGCAGCTGTACAGCAGAGCCTGTTGCGGGGCACCACATCTCCACATGTGCCTGACTTGTGGGCTGCGAGCACCATGGCCGGGGCCCGGGGCAGCAGGTGTGAGCTGGAGACACAGGAAAAGAAAGAGGAAACAGACCCGGGACAGCGCCCAGCAGAGCACCCCCTACTCGCACCCCGCATTCCTGCCGCAGTGGGAATCCTCAAATCATTTTAGCCCTAAATGATCACCACAGCATCCCTGCTCCAGTCTCATCCTCCACCTCTGTCCTCCGTCCTCCATGGACTGGGGGCTTTCCTGATGGTTCAGAGCATGCAGTTAGAGCCAGACTTCTTGAGTTCAAACCCTGCTTCCATAGTTTACCAGCTTGCTCCCTTGGGAAAGTTATTTAATATCTTCAAGCCTCAGTTTCCTCATTCGTAAAATGGGAATAATGATAGTCCTAATAATTGGGTAAGTATGTAATGTGCTTAAAATAAAGACTATCGCATAGTAAACTTTCAGTGTTAGAGTAGTTTTAATCTTGACCTGTAGAGCGGAGACACCCTAGCATTAGAAAGACCGGATGCCACTTGTACCCTAACTGAATGATCTTGGGAATCTTTCTTCCCTAAGCACTATTTCCATATCCGTAAAATGCAGATACTAATAGTAACTAACTCGTAAGATGGCTGTAAGGCTTCAACAAAAAAAAAATGTAAATTGCTTACCTGCACATTGAAGACATTCAAAAAATAATACTTTTCATTATTAAAATAATAGCACTGGCATTAGTATTATTGCCAGATTTTTTAAATAAATGAGAAGTTTCTGGATTCCCAAAGGCAGTGCTTTTTTGCCTTTTTTCACTTCAGAGCATTCAGAAAACAATATATAACAAAAAGTAAAGAGAAAGCTGCCTGTGACGAGTCTGCAGGCTCTGGCTTGCTCCCAGCTGGGCCAAGGGAGCATTCGCACCTGTAGCCCATTCAGGGCTCAAGGGACACGAGCGGGAAGCACCGCTCCCAAGGAGAAGATTTAAAGCAGTGGTTCTTGGCCATGAGTGTGCAGCCGAGTCACCTGCAGGGCTTATTAAACCAGATGGCCCAGGCCCAGTCCCATCCCCAGAGTTCAGTAGGCCTTAGGTGGGACTCAAAAATTCTTACTTCTAGAAAGTTCCCAAGTGGTGATCTGGGACCACAGTTTGAGAACTGTTCATTCAGAGCATGTGGGCCAGTCTCATTCTGACATGTTAGCCTTGATTAGATTAAAAGAAATTCTTTTTCCTTCTCTCTCGTTGTCTGAAGCACTATTTAATTCACTCCCCCCTCTCCAAAGGCCAGTTCCCCTTGTTACATAAATTGAAAAGGAAAAGCTTTTTTTTATCGTGATTCTGTTCTGAATACCTCCAGAGCTCCAAAAGCACATAAACCCCTAAGGAATCTAGTTTTCAGACCTAACAATTCACCCTTGCTGAAGAATCATAGCTGTTCCCTGTGTCACAAAGGCCCTTCCTGATTGGGGAAAGACTCGCTCAGTGCAGAAGCTAGACAGCCCTGGGTTCACATCCAATCCCTTCACTGACTGGCTGTGTCCTTGAGTAACTTCTCAGAGCCTCGTTTCTTTATCTATAAAGTGGAAATAATAGCACCCACCTCATCGAGTTGTTTTTAATATTTATTGTTTATAATATTTATTACAAGTTCTATTCTATTCTAATATGTTGTATTATATAATATATTATAAAATTTATTTATTATAATGTTTATAATATTTATTGAGACAGTATATGTAAAATACCTGTCACATAGTCCTCAGAAAATGTTTACTGTTTTTTTAAAACTTAGAATTAGTGAATGGGAATGAGGTTTCATTCCTACATTCATTTTTCAAATGTTTACCAAGCATCTACTATCTGCCAGACCTCATGCCGTGAGCAGAGGGTATAGCTTCATGCTTTCGTGGTGTCTTTTTTTTTTTTCATGCCTCTACCCTGCAATGTCTTTCTGCATCACTGCCCTCCGCAGAGCTGCCTTGCCAATTGGCAGTATCATTGTTTCCCCAAAAGGCCTTTCCCCAAAACCACTATCCTTTCCTTCCCCACTCTTGTGCTCACCAAGTAGTGACAGCATCCTGACTGTAGGCTAATCGCTGTGCTCATACAGGGGCAGTGAGAGTGAGCTGGATGGATGTCCCAACCCATGAGGGACTTACAGACACACAGAGCAGCAGATGTTAAGTAAATGAAGTGCTAAGTTGCTGGGAACATAGAAACAGGAGACCCACCCTAACCTGGGAAATCATGAAAGGTTTCTCCCTGAGGAAGAGATGTTGAAACTGAGACCTGAAGGATTAGTAAGAGATGAACTTGCCCTATCAGCCATCACCGATAGCATCACTGATAATATAAGGCCATCATAATCTAGATAGTAAGGATAGACAAGGGGTGGATAGGAAGCAGGGCAGAACAGATACATGCATTTATAAAAATTTGACATTAAGAAAGGTAGTATTGCAGAGCAGTAGGGAAAGGGATGATTCAATAAGTAGACGTGAGGCAATTGTATTTCCACATGGGATAAAATAAAACTAGATCCCTATTTCATACCATATTCAGAAGTCAACTTCGCAGAGCTTACAGACCTCAGTGTGAAATGCAAAACTATTATACCCTTACAGAAGAATAGAGGACATAGTTTTAGGACTATCAGGTTGTGAAAGAATTCTTAAACAAGATTAAAAGGCCCAACCCCAATGGACAAGATTGATAAACTTGACTGCAAACAAAATCACATTCATTGACTCAGTCATTCAGTGTTCATCAAAAGCCTGTGGTACACCAGGCCCTCTTCCAGGAGCTCAGGACAGAGCAGTGAACAAAACAAAGTCCTCGGGGATCATACTGTAGTCTGCGTAGGTGTCAAATTATCATGAGGTACTCCAGAAACCCATCAAACGTTATAAAACAATGTTACCTCAGTAGAAGTTTTTTTTTTTAAGATTTATTTATTTATACAAGAATCGGGGTACAGGCCAGATGCGCGGGAGGGTGAAAGGATTCACCAGAGACAGAGTGGGGAACAGAAC